ATTTAAGAGTAACAGTACATCTTTCCAGACTAGTTCATAGGTTTGAGTAAGTCCCCTAAAGCCCTCAAGGTACTCATGGTCATCGTAAAATGTTCTCAGATCTTGTTTGGTCTGTTTGAGGTCACTGAGAGAAAAGGACACATGGGCACAGGTAGGATCAAACTCTCCATCCACCTCCTATAAGGAATACTTTCCTTGAGGAGCTTGAACAAAATCAGATAGGGATGGATAGGGCCGAATAGACACTTCAATTATGGCTGGCTTAGAAGCCTCACCCTTATAATCCAAAGGGCAAGGGAGGAGAACCTTAAATCAGTGATAGTGAATGCATCCAATTGTGCCCTAAGGTCCAGAGGTGTCTGGTTTTCCTGTGGCTTACATTTACATTTTGAACACAAGTAAGGATTATCCCTTAATGCAAAGAAAGTCTAAACATAAGGTAATTCTGACTATTTTCCCTCTTTCTTACAGTACAATTTTAGTTCTGAAATAATATTATAATTACTTCCCTCTGCATTGCATTTTGCCTCTAGTTGGTAGACAGGCCATGCACAGTGGAGAAAAATATTAAACATCTCTTTCTCATTACATGAGGGTCAAACAATTTCCAATGCTTAAGAATACATTCCAAAGGAGCAAGAGAATTCAACATTAAATTCCCCATCTGCAACACAAGAGGAAAATAGGTGTTCCTTTTAATCTCCACTTGGTTTCTATATCCTCTCAAGGTGTCTTCTGAGGTGACTGTTTCAGAGCAGATGGGTGCTATCTAGAGAGTGACCAGAAGATAGGTCAGGTCAGACTAGCCACCCTTACAGATTTGCACTTCTACCTTCCCCAGAAACTCACACTCCCAACTCCAACGTGTGTTTCCAAAAGCACAAGCAGTCATGTTTAAAGAAGGAAGCATTGTTTGCAAAATTAAACCAATAATCAAGAGATCTGAACAACTGCTTTCCAATTCTTTCAGAGAGTGAGGAAGAAAAGGACCGAAGGACAAATTGAAAGTTGTTTGAGCACTTCCCAGCCTGTAAAAGAGACCACCTCCAGAGATAGATAGAGGCAAGTAATGGCTCAGAAAAGTCTTTGTGCTGTCTACCTAATCACCTAGGCAATCTTCCTTAGCAACACACTTAAGAAGCTCACAGGTTAAAATCTATACACATTGTCCAGCAACCACAAGTTAGACTAAAAGTATTTACCTCTCCTACACACATCAATGATGAGAACCAGACCTACGAGGGGAGAAAGAGAGCCCGGGAGGTTGGGGATTCTCCCTTAAACTGAATGTATTTTGGTTCCTTAAATATTGTGCTTAGGAACTAGCTCCTTCTGGTCTCACCCAGAAGTTGGTTCTTTCCATGGGGTCTCAGGTTCAGTTTCCCACACCTGGGATACTGTTGCCCAGAACACATAAGCTGGGACATTGCTTTCATGTATGTTCTCCAGGATGGGTGAAATTCTGATGTCTCATCTGACCCAGAGACGGGGTATGTGTTCCTCATCTAGGATGACTTCCCTGTCTTCAGCGTTAGCAAATGCTCATTTTCTATGGGCTCAACTTAAAAGATTTTAGTTGTTGGATAGGAGGGAAAGACAATTTAGGGTTCCTCCCTCTCTAATCTTTAGCAAAAACATGCCTCCAAAAAAGGGAAGTACAAAATGACAGGAAAATATCAGAAATGAAATCAGAAAAAGGAAGTCTTTTCTTCTCATGTGCATGGTGAGTTATTGAGACAACTTGCCCACAAGTCATCACCATCAGTCTGGAAAGGTGAGAGTGGGGAATCTCAAGAACTAAGATTGCCTCTTCACCAGTGGAAGATCAGACCAGAAAGGCAAATGAGGCAGAAGAGGCTCAACATTCCCCTCTAGGGTGTCCCCATGAAACCTGTCCTCCAAGTCTTAAGAATGGCTGCTGGCCTATTGTCTTTTAACCTGGCAATTGACATCCCATGATTTATTAATAGCCATGTTTATTTCCTAAATATAAACTAGCTTTCATAAAAGACCCATCTTAGTGCAATTCATAAATTCACATTTTGGTTAATATCAAAGTCCACTAGGGGATGCTCTAATATTACTTTATCTTAGTGCTGTTGTCTAAGATTAAATAGCAAAACCATAACAGTCAAAACAAACATGTCAACTAAGCAGCACCAATAAATTCAGCAACTTAGTAAGTCCAAATGCAGCATATATAAACAGGAATATAAGGCCATTCCTGCAAAAGTAAAAAGTCCCATCAAAGGAATATCATAATCTTCCCATATTCTCAACTTGAATTTACTATCACTTTAACAAAAAAATGTGTAAAAAAAAAAAAAGACAAGGTATAAAAATTCAAGGCATAAGCATTTGACAGACAAGGATGAAAATTTCTGATTACCTAAACAAGTCACAATCCAGAATCCCATGAAACAAAAGCAAACTCTTACCTCCTTCCAATTATCTCAGTTGGGCCCCCAAATGATACAGGGGAAATACACGTAACTCCCCAATTGCTAGATGTCAGATACACAGAATTCGTGTTCCCCAAAATATAAGAATGATTTCTAAGGAACAATGGAGGTTAAGAGTAGGAAATATTTCGGTGAGAGATAGAGAGATAGCTCCTGAGAGACAGGAGAGGACCTAAAAGTGGGTTGCTATGGATACCACTTCACCTAGGAAGTTTTATAGAGCAAATAAAAAGGCGAGTACAAAATTATGTGGTGGGTACAATGTGGGACAAAACTATAGCCAACCAATAGGATTACAGATATAGCTGCTGTCTTAGTTACTTTTCTCACTGTTGAGACAAAAGCCCCCAAACCCAAAGTTAAAGGAAGAAAGGTTTTTTAGCTCACAGTGTGTAGAGGTTTCAGCGCATAGTTGGCTGGCTCCAAGACAGGGTGATGTGGCGGAGGAGAAACAGTCCATGGCAGACAGAGCGTAGCAAAAGCAAGCAAGGGAAAAGGACCTAGATAGGATCTTTCTGCCCCTCTTATCCCATCCAGGCTGCCTAGGGCAGGCAGCACTCACACCCTTAATTCTAGTGCCCTCGATCCTAGCATTGCACCAGAAATCAATCTCAGCATCATATACTCCAGATTCAGCCACCTCTGCAAAAGCCACATGAGGCTTTGGGGGGACTTCTAAACACAAGCCATAGCAGCTGCTTAGGAAATATTGGTCCAAATGGGGAGGCAGGTCACACAGCAAGTTTACATGAAAAGAACAAGGACTTTTCAGGAAGACATGAATCAGGAGGTCCTGGTCACCCACCTGGGTGAACAATGGACCAGGAAATACCATTTATAGTGTAGTATATTGCTTATCCCTCCGGGAGGCACGTAGGCAGGTCATCCCAGCCTTATCTCGAGGGCTGGCCTTTAGTGAATGTGCCTCCAGCCACTGCTGTGATGTGCTCTCATCTTCTGAACTGACTCCCTCTAGGGCCCAGCCCTATCTGACTGCTTAGAATATTTCTACCTAATTTAACTGTCTATAAAAATATGATTGTTACCTGTCCTGGAGATTAAATAAACTTACTCCATCTTAAGGGGTAGGACCAATTTATCTGAAGTTCACACTTGAATATTTATTCCTTTGCAATCTTGAATGATTTATTTGAGAATAAAAATTATTTATTTATTTCCTCAAATATAAAATGATATTTTTTTAATGGTGACAGTATAGAACCCAGTGCTTCACGTGTGCTAGGGAATGCTAAGCCTTTTATTTTATTATGTTTTGATACAGGGTCTCTTGTTAAATCGCTCAGGCTGAACTGCAACTTCTAAGCCCCCTGCCTCAGCCTTCCATATTGCTGAGGTTACAGACATGTGCAAACATACCTGGCTTAAGATGGGAATTATGACATTTTAAAAAGTTCATTCCAAGCATTAGATACCACAATTTCTAATAGCACTTGGCATAATTCTTAGTGTACACAGACAGCTCACTGCATATAGCTTTGATTTCAATGAAAACAAACCAATTTCTGTCAAAAGGGGATATGAATGGTATATGATTTTAAATAGGTCTGAGTTGTGTTTATAATACTTAATCTGTTAATAAAAATCTTGAAAACAGTTGACCCAATACATAAATGTACGCAATATTCCGCTATTGCCCCGAGTCCTTTATTCCAGTTTAATTTTCCCTGAATTTGTAACAATAATTGCTACCAAGCTTTCAGCACCTGATTGGGAAAATGAAAAATTAAATAGAAACTGCGCTTTCCTTTACTCTTTACCTACAGAAATTTACTTACCTAAAAGTCTAGCTTCTTCTAAAGCTTTTTAACCTCTAACAAAATAGCAGAGGCACAGTGCCGGGGTCATTCAGGGTCATGGGCAGAAGTGCACTGAAACTGTGATTTTCCAAAAAGCGGGTGGGGGGTCAGGAGGAAAGGAGAGGGCACTGGAGAGAGGCCGGGAGGCTACTTCGAGGTTTGCTTTGAGAAGGGACAGTGAAACAAGGGCCGGCTGGAAAAGGATCCAGGTTCCTGTGTTGCTGGGCCGGTGCCAGGGCTGCTCCTGGGCAGGACACAGTGAGCCCTGGCTGGAGGAATCGGGCAGCCTCCGGGGCGGCGGGAAAGAAGTCCATGACTTGAGGGCGAACCCTGGGGGCCATGGATGAGCCACTGAAGTGTGGTGCTGGGAACCTCCCCCGCCCCCTCGAGCTCAGCGCCCTGGGCGGGGAGGGGCTGCAGAGAGGGGTGCAGAGCGGGTGCAGAGAGGGGGCTGCAGAGAGGCTCCCGGGGTCCCGGAGGGGTGCTCTGGGGTCCCGCGTCACCCGCCACCCGCCGGCAAAGCCCAGTCCCTGCCCACGGGCGTTTAAAAGAAAGCAGGGCCAGGTAAAGCGGACGTCCGGGGGGGGCGGCTCCCGCACCCCAGCCTGCTCGGGCCAGGCCACTGCCCCACCTGCCGTCTGCGCTCAATACCACGCCCTTTCCCGACCCGACCCCTCCCCGCCTCGCTGGATTTGCCGGGCTGGGACCCTCCTCCCTCCCACCTGGGATCCCCGGGAGCCCGGGCGATCCCTGCTTGGCTTCTGCAGCTCAGACTTCGCAGGTTAGGGGCGAATCGGGCTGAAGGCGGCTTCTTGCCTTCCTCAGCCGCTGCTTCCCCTTCCTCTTTCCCCACGTCGGTGTGGAAACACGCACTTTGCTGTCCGAGTTGAGCACCTCGGCCCGGGCTGGCTCCTGGTCCCTGCCGTCCACCCCGCGCGAGCCTCGGGCCGGCGACCTCTGCTTCCTCAGTTCCTCTCCAGGGCCGGTGGGGGTGACGGAAGGAGGGGCCCGAGCCGCGCGCAGCGCGCTGTTAAAACAGTGTCTTGCCGTAAGAGGGAGTGCAGAACCAGACCTTCCAGTTAACCACTCGGCGACTTAACTCAGCACGAGAAAGCAGCCCAGCCGCGGCTCTCGGGGCGCCGGCTGCGGACGCGACTCCTCCGCCCAGGCAGCGGCTGCAGAGGCGCCCGGCCGGGCAGGCCCGCACCATGTGGGCCGCCAGACTCCTGCAGGCCCTGCTGCTCCAGCAAGTCCTCCTGCACCTCCTGCTGCTCCCCGTCGCCATCCCCTACGCAGGTCAGTTTCCCCTGCTGCTTCCCCTCGCTCGCCTCCCCTTCCCTCCCGCTGCCCCGACCCAGCCTCGGCTCCGCTCCGCTCCGCGTGTGGCATGGGGTTTCACAACCTCTCAGCACGCTGTCTTCTGACGTTTCTGTCTGGAAAGCGTTACGGGACCGCTGACATGCGCCGGGCTCCCTCTGCCCTCACCCGGCCCAGCCCATGCCAGTGACCCCGCGGTCCTGGACGGACGGCCGGAGTAGGGCGCTGATGCTGGCTGCAGCTTTGTTGGTTTGGATAAGTTGGAAGCTAGCCCGTGGTCTGCACAGGGGAGAGGGATGGCCCGTCCGGTGAGGACTCGACTTCTCCAGAGGGCCTGTCCAGGACAACTACCGCCCCTCAGCATCCAGGGCATTCAGAGCCAGATTGCAGCGCTAGACAGGCTTTCGTCCAGGGGAGGCGGATGACACTCCGAACTACAAAATGCGCGCTTTGAAAATGAAAGAGAAAGCCCCTCTGCTGAGCCCTCCGGCTTTCTGCCCTAGGAGTCCCATCCTCTGGAAAGGCAGCAATTGCCTGCGGGGCAAAACGGGCACTGGGGTGAAAGCTGCGGAACTCTGCTCTGCTCCTGCTTGTCCTTTGCTTCCCAGGTTGGGGAGGAGCAGCTGGAAGCCCATGGTGCCCGGGCATTGAGAGACCTGACCTGCCGCTGTGGGAAGTTTGCGGTGGGAATCAGCACAAGAGGAAACATCTGTATTTGTGTTATCAACCTGGTGGCCAGCGTGCCCACAGAAGGCAGGGCACATCCAGGGTGGGCACATCCAGGGCGGGCACATCCAGGGTAGGCACACGGGAGTCAGAAAGAAGCAAATGCTCAGGTGGCAGGCAGAGACTTTTTACAAGGAGAAACAGAGACGCCTGTGTCTTTCTTTCGCGATAAGTCAAATATGAATTTTATCAGACCTCTGATCTAGGTTCTGATGTCATACAAAGGCTGAAAACTTCAAGAATGTGCTAAATGATAAGAAAAATCATTTAACTCATCTGGCTTGCTTCTATTTGGGGAAGTGAACCTTTTGGGAATGACAGTTTGGAAAGCCTCAACTTAAAAGCAAGTAGGCAAGATTTCTCTGCAGAGGTGAAAAAGGCCTACCAGGTCATCAAGCTCCCAGTGGGCCGTGCTACCTAACTGGTTTAGGGAATCTTGGGCGTAAGGTCAATCCTGGCTAAGACGTTGATGGCTTTCCTTTGTGAGTCCAGTGTAGCTGCTGTGAAGAACAGTGCAGCTCCCTGAAGGTGACCCTCCAACGAGAGAAGAGCACCATGCTGAAAAGTCAAACAGCAGATCCAGCATCCACAGTGTCTGTCTGTTTTTGGCGGCATTCCCACCTTCTGGCAGGAGATGCACATTTGTAATTATACTTCACTTTGGCTGATGTGGTAGTGAGTGCGTTCCCTGAGTACAGGCAGAAAGCAGCCTCAGAGCGGGTTCTCAGTTGGCAGGGCCAGCTGGGAATCACAGGTCTATGCCGCGAACAATTCCTGAAGTGGATAACCCTAAAACTGTCACTGCAAGAGGGTCTGACTTTCTCTGGATGGCAACATTACTTTGGTAGCTTTTAGAAAAATATTATCACCAAAATGGAAAACAGGAGTAGCCTTTTTAAACATACAAAGAATATTTATTCTTTTCTTAATGTCTTCTAATATTGAGCATTGAGAGATTTTTTTTGTAGCTGTTGTTACTGGCTTTGGTTATATTTTTTTGGTTCTATGAAAAAAAACTAGCACTCTATTAGAAAAGAAGTGGACACTAATAAGCTGCAAGCAGGTATGACCAGAAGGTATTATGGAGATAAATTTATTAAAAAGTTTTATTGAGAAATATTCAATAGGGTCGACCCAAGTCTTCCTTAGAGGAGTTGTTCTTTTCTCTCCTACTTACGCTGAAAACCAATTCCAATCCTCTGTAACAAAAGAAGCATTAAATGAGCACCTCTTGCCTGAGAGACTTCGAAAAATATAAAGGTGAAGAATGAGGAAAGGAACCTGTATTTGGTGAGAAACTGCTAGGAACCAAGTTCGAAAGAAAAACTTAATTAGTTCTAGTAAGACTGACATCGTTGGGTTATCTTATATGGGAAAACTGAGGGTTGAAGTCCTTAATTATCTTGTTATTTTTGTTAGTGAAAGGAAAGAGATGAGATTCCTACCAAATTCATGTGAATGAAATCTGTTACTGTCCCCTTTACTTATACTGCAGCCAGCAGCAGTGAAACCAACTGAAATTTACTTTGGAGAATCAGTAACAATTCTCTGTTAGAATTCCCACGGTTGACAGTTCATTCCCATTTGAGTGAGTGGAATCATGTTTGGAAGTGTTTGGTACCACATTGGCTATGGACAGAGGAGGGAAGGCGTGGCTGGCACCTGAGTCAGGAGACCACAGGTAGCCAGAGAGTAGAGGGGGGAAATGTGAAGGACACCCTAGGACGACCCTGCAAGCAGGTAAAAGAGCATGAAGAGAAAGGCGTCTCGGATACCCAGGGAACTGTGACCTGTGTTCCGGAAAGCAAGGTGAGGTCAAAGGGAGAGTCTTGAAGGTCACACTGAGCCATGAGTGCTCCACACTGAAGACTTGAGTGACAGGTCAGCCCCTTGGCAGCAGCTGTACCTCAGCACGGGGCTTTGGTCAGTGTGAGGAGGGACAGTTGTAGGCAGGAATGGACAGAGAAGGCACAGACCTGGATGAAATTTCTGTACCTGTGAGTCCTCGAACAAGAAAGTAGAAGGAAGACGACATGGGGTATCTGGGAGGTTCCCAGCCTCACACCCATCAGTTTATTTTGTAAACTCTTGGAAAAGATAACGATGTTGCTTCTCCAGTGCCAGCAGCTGACTTAAATCTGACACAATCTCATTCTCCTTGACATCTTCCTTTGTGATTTGGTTACAGTTCTCTAAAGAAGGAGAGGTGATTGTCAGTGAAATCCAAGTCCTGCTTAGGTAACAGTCGGGATTTAGACTTCTATTTGTGATTCTTGCCTCTGAGAAGTTTAAAATCTCCAGTCATGACCACCCCCTTTCCGTTCATTATTTGGATGCTTTCATCTTAACGTCTTGCTCTTCCAACTGCTAATCACTAATCGTGTGGGCAGCTTTCTCAGAGTGTGTGGAGCCAGACTTCTGCTTCTTTCTACACTCTGAAAATCCTTTCCTTGCAGGATTTTCCTTTGAAGTCAACAGTTTGTCCACACAGAAGAAAATATATGAGGTACTGAGAGAAATGAGTGTGGGGTGAGCAACCAGCGGAGAAATGTGCCTTTCCTCAAGCGCCTTGATACATTTGACCCGACTTTCTGTTTGGGGGTTTTCAATAGAATCCTAATGATTTCAATTCTGGAACAGGGGCTGCAGGTTCTTTTGGTAATACAGCTTCCCACATACTTTCCCAGACTGGGAGAAGACCGAAGGAAGGAGCTGTAATTTAAAATACAGGAAAGCGTAACGAATTTGCCATGATCTCTCACCCTTTGATATCATTTCAGTATTTTGTTTATGAGCTTCAACTAATGCTCACACAGAAAAAATAATAGGGAAAAATCTGATCCAAAGACATTTTTTTCCCAGATGAAGACTGGCTGTTAAATGTTTTCAGTAAAACAAGCACCAGTTGTTAATACACATGGAAGAGAAAGTCAAAACTGTTTTCAGCAAAGGGTTTTTATTTTCCGATGCTGTTTTTGAATGGCTTCTATTTTGAATTTTTCTCTTTTTGCTTGAGTAATTGACTTTACAGATGCTTGTATTACATGATAGGTAGCTAATTTGAACTTCATAGTTTCAGTAATTAGCCACTGACCTAGTATGAGTGACATATAAAGGGAAATTCATATGACAAAGCAAGAGTACTGAGGAAGGAATCTTGGTATTGGTTTCAATTTCCCTGATTATTTTGTAGCTCCAGATTAAGTGCTTTACTTCTATTTGTTACTTAGTGCAGGGCAAGTGTAGACATATTCATTTATCAGAATGCTTTTTGATCTATACTGATAGAAAAATTACCAGCAAGCAAGAATAGACTATTTTTATGAGTAACAACCACACATTAGCATTTCAGCAGGACAACTGAGGATCTATAGAATTAAACATGCATGATTACCCAGAGACCTCTGCTCCAGTGGTCGCTACTGCTTACCTTCATCTTGCGTGGATTTGAGAAAAGAGACAGGAGCAGTGAGCAGAGCCTCTATTTTAATTAATTGCTGAAATACTTTAGAGATTTAATGTTTGTTGTAGTCTTTTTGAATTTATTTTTATACTCTTCTCTCATCTACTTAGACGAGGACAATAAATACCTTATAACCAGACAATTTTAATTCTATAATGTTAATTAGTATAAACTCTCTTGAGAAATATATATACACATTCACAAGTAATTACATATATAAATATATACATTCACAAGTAATTATGCATACATATATATTCCTGTACATTGGCAGACAGGCTTAAAAATACATTTTCCCCATTATTTAACTATTACTCACTTCTAGGTAATACTGAAACTTGTGCATGAAATCAAATTATTATTGTGTTGTGAAATATTTTACATTACTAAAGAATTAATGAAATAAGATCACAGGAAGAGAAACTGTTAGTTAAAAAATTTACTTCCCATTAACATGGGTCTGTGAGAGAAACAAAAGTTTGGGAAGAGTTATGCCTTCTTTGCTTGAGAAAGAGCAGTTTCTTCCTCCGTGTCAGGAAACAAAGGATGACATTTCCAAAAGAAAACATATAATTTGCATATCTGTCACATTTTTATTCAAATTGATTCCTAAATATTTACTTCGTGATGATAGTAATTCATTTTCCTTCATCATTAATGTGACTTGCACTCTGTGGATCCAGGAGCTGGACTGCTGACATTTCGGGTCAGTGAAGGCCCTCATTTGGTGAGGCAGTGAGATATTAGCACCATCACCCATCTGCCAGCATTGTGCAAGGCATTCAGCAGACTCTCATTCAGTAACATGTTCCTAGATTATCTGGTTGATTGAAATTTCGTTAAAATTATACCTATTGTATAACAGCCATTCCATCTAATAGGGAAAAGAAAAGTTAAAATTGACAGTGTTGCTACAGAAATTAATGCTAGATTTTTAGAGTTTTCCAGAGAACTGGAAATTTCAAGGCCCTTGTGTTTCTTCTTGTGTATTATGCATTTCCTGCTCTGCCATCTGAGTTTCCTCTTGATTGACAACTCTGGACCAAATTTTCAAAAAATGTTTACACGTTATATTTCCACATACACTCTTGGCAATTCTTAGGTAGAGTTGACATGGTAAATGGCGTCCAGCGGCAGTTCTGAAGCCAGGCAGCTGGGCTTCCAGGCTGTTTGTACGTGGTCAGTGAATTTTTCCCTGAGCCTTGGCTTCATCAACTTATAAGTGAATCTGTCATCATTGCCTTTGTCAAAGTTTGAATCAACTGACTGGCAGAGGGGCATGGTTTCTTCCGTTCTCCTTATCCTAGAGCTGCAATCGATCAGACACTGTGACCCATATTACGAAGAGGGTGACCTGAGGATGTCATTGAGATGACTTTCACAAAATAGAGAGTAAAGAAACAGTTCCTGAACTCACAAGTAATTCATAAGATTAAGCTCTTAGGAAGTTTTGGTACTGTTCTCCAGGTTTATAGTAGGAGGCTTCGTCTTATCTAGGAGGCTTGCACTTTCCTGAAGAAAAATGATACTGCTACATTAAGGGATGAAGTTTTACATGCATTTGATTTACAGTATTTGGCTTGATCTCAAGACAAACAGTTCAGTGGATAGTAAGAAGAAGTGTTCAACAGCACAGAACATTTTAATTTGTAGTAGATGGAAAGAGAATGGGTAAAATATGAATAGTACAAAACACTTAAAAGCGAGTGAGAAGAATCTGTCCACTGCATAGCTCTTAGTGGGAAGTCTCTAGCTTATCATTGAGTTGGCTTCTCTACTCAACCACTCTTAACTCACACAAGGGCCAATGATGGAAGAAAATGAAGATTTTAATTATAAAACCTGACATAGTGTGCCTGGCTCTGATATTTGTGTTATTTGGAAAATATATTTTTTTAGAGTGAACTCTTTCCTAATTGTTTGTTTTACAGTTATTTCTTTAGATTTCTCTATTTATTTAGGATGAACTCTATCCTAATTTTTTATGACATACTTCAGTTGAAAGAATAGAGAAAATGTCTGAAGACTATAGATGAATGCGTGTGTGACAAGTTCCTTGAATTGCCCTGATTCCAATACTTTTCTCTTGCTCATAACCATTCCACAGCCCTCAGCATTCCTAATCCCTAAAGGTCCAGTATGTTCTTAGATAAAATGATTATCTTGCAGGTAATGCAAAAATTGTTTTTCCGTAAAATCATTGAAAGCATTTCTACCATGTTTATAATTTTGCATTAATAGAAGGACAGAAGAAAAGAAGAAATACCCTTCATGAATTCAAAAAGTCAGCAAAGACTACTCTCATCAAAGAAGACCCACTACTGAAGATTAAGACCAAGAAGATGAACAGCGCGGATCAGTGTGCTAATAGATGCACTCGGAATAAAGGGCTCCCCTTCACCTGCAAGTAAGTTTCTTTATGTGGTGCTTAGGACGATTTTCCACACATCCCATGCGTACGTTGTAGTCATGTTCTTCTCTTTGCTTTTTTGTGAACAAAACTCTTCAGACTGAGTTTGAGGCTAGTTTTAAGTCATCAAACAGAAATCGTAGCTCTCCATGGAAGCAAATATAGCTTGAGCAGGGGAGAATGCCAAAAACTGCCCTCAGCAATCAACAGTGGTCTTGGTTAGGAGAGTTCTGATTTCTCATAGGAGGAACAGTTAAACTCGAGGAACTAAAATCAAGTCAGAGTGACCTTTATCTCTCCAACATTTAAAAATATTCTATCCAGTCATTCAGAGTAAAACTTTTCCTCCCTTCCTTCCTTCCTTTTTCTTTCTCCTCCTCCCTCCTTCCCTTCCTCTATCTTGCAAGAGGACTGGAGGAATTTTCAGACTAAAAGTTGGGCAATGGCCAAAATTTACTGCAACTTATATCTTGGTCTTAGGGATTTAAATAAAAGGTGTTGAGAGAATTAGTTAAAAATAACTGAGGGAATGGTGTCAGCAGCAAAGGCTGTGTGAAAGAATTCAGAGGATGACGGTGATGAGATTCAGGTGAAAAGTGATAGAGCAATTCAGAGGCCTGGTAGAGAGGGTCCCTTACCTCTGGTAGTCCTTGGGTGACCCACAAGGGAGAGCTCCTTACCACTATAAGAGCCAAGGAGCAAAGAGGAAACACGGCCTTTGTCCGAAAGTCAATCATAACGTCTCAATGGGCCCCTGATCTTCCAGAAGAACATGCATTTTCTTGCTCTCTTTCATGCATTTCCTCTCCCTCATCTTATTTCTTATTCCTTCCTTACCTATTTCAATCCCTTTTTAAAAGTAGGATTGTATGACACGTTCTGTGCATTTCAAGTTCTAGCTGATTGCTGGACAGTGCCCGGTGGTGTGGCCGGAGGGTCAGCCCCGCCCCGAGGTGCGGGGTCCACTGCTGTCCTGCGTTGCTCACCGAAGTGAGCGTTGGAGGCGGCCCAGAAGGGCGTGGTCAGAGAGCTCTCAGCTGTGGGGGAGCGGGAAGACCTCCTACTTTTATAGCACAGCTGCCACTTTCAGGGAGATGCTTTCTGCCACTGGGAGTGGGAATAAAATTTGCAAGTAGCATAATAATTCTGCTATTATTCTATGCCAATTCTGTTTCATCCCCTGACTTCTGTATAAAGGCCTTGGGATTGTTAAAAATAAATTAGGAAAAAATCACTTTCAATCCACACCTCGGCGGTGTAGATTTTTGGAGATGTTCCTTTGGCAATCAAACAGGTCCAAGTTGTGTTTTCCCTTCTTGGGGTGGAAAGAGTGTGGCAGAGTGGGTGGGCAACCACATCTCACTGTGGATTTTAAACTTTGAATCTGAACATATACTCCCTTGGGTCCTATGTGAGGAAATATCGCTTTCACTCATAATTTACAGTTACCATCCTAACTTGCTTATTCAGTAGAGACTAAAATGATTTGCTGCATTAGAGAGGGCATGAGGCCTTATTGACAGATGCAGTTATCCCAGGTATATGATGTTTCATACTTTCTGACCACATTGTGGTTCAGCTCTATGCAATATACACATAATATCAAAACATACCAACAAGGCCATGTGACAGGGTTGTGAACTGGGTGGGAGAGAGGAAGCACACTCTCAAACACTCTTTCCTCTGGACTAGGTGTCAACAGTATCACTTTTACTGGGACTCTAGATCCTCTTTGTTAGGCAGGAAAGATGCTCAGAGTGTCTGACCCTAGGATGTCAGCAGGATTTCTCCTCATTCCCAAGGTGACCTAAGAGGAAAATAAGAGAGCTTGTCTTCCAGCCATGACTATGTAGAATTGTACAGAATAATTTTAAAATAAGATGATAAAAATTAAGGGTAAGATAAAGACTCGTATTAAAGTCAAACTTAAAAGACCATGCAACCCATGGAAATTTTTTATTGAATCTCTAGAAATCTCTTTTTTTCCCCCACTAAGTTTATTGGTACATTTTAGGTATACAGTGCAGTTACATTCCTCACTGGGATCTTGTACCTGTACATGAGTATCTTGCTTCTTATTTTTTCCCCTTCCCCTGCCCTCCCTTCACCCCCTCCACCTTCCCTATTTACAAAGACTTTGTTTCCATTTTTTTCCTTTTCTCATATTTTTTCTTTTCCCTTCTTTCATTTCCCCTTCCCCTCCCATTTCTCCTATTCCTTTAGACATTTTCTTCCTATTTCACAATATCAACTATACATTTTGATTCTTATTTACATTTTTAGTTTTTCACCCGAGAGAAACTACTGATGGCCTCATAACTGCATGTGGAGGTGTAAAATAGTATGAGAAAGTGTTTCTCTGAGAGAATGTGTCATTGCAATGGAAGGACAGCAAAGAGTTAGTGTGATCAGGAAACTGGAAACCCTTTATGCAGTTTTCCAGTTGACATAGCCTGGCACTTTGTTTTAGAACTTTTGGTATTTATCCTTTTGTTTTAGAAAAAGATTGTTTTAGTGAACAACAGCAAAAAACTAATTAAATACTTGGCTGTAGGAATGGTAATTGTAGAGTTGAAACATTTTAACATTTTTTTCTTAAGATGATACATCAAGAGCACATTCTCGAATATTGATAATTTTTAAATTAAAATGTATATACAAAGGACAGGTGTGGTGGCACATGCCTATAATCCCAGCATTGAGGAAGCTGAAACAAGAGGTTGCTGTGAGTTCCAGACCAGTGTGGCCTGCACAGTGAGTTCAAGGCCAGCCTGAACTACACAGGGAGATCCTGGCTCAGAAAACCAACCAACCAAACAAACCAAAGCGCATATACAAGCAAACTTGTTTGGGAAACATGGATTGAAACAAAGTTACCCTTATAGCAAGATTTTCCCAACCTTTAATAAACTTTAGTATTTTATAATGCACCAGGAAGGGATACTATATTCAAACATTTCTGAACATTGGATTTAGATCCCTGTTTCCTAGAGAATGTCCCTGGGGGTTGATGCCTGATGTAACTTAGGAAATGTCATTTTCATACAATTACAAACTTGGGAAACTAATCATGACATCATAATTATATTCATTTGTATAGAGGTGTAAAGAAAATCTCCCAATTTACTGGGTACTTACAAAAAAAAAGTCTTTGGAAATAATCCAGATAGTTGTGTTACATGTTGACTTTGCTTATTGAAGCTCTTAATTTTCTATAAGTTGTTCAGAATAGCATGAGAACATCTCTGCTACTATTCAATCTGATATATATATATATATCCATACTCACAAAAAGTTAGTTTCGTTTTTTTCTTTTCTGGCCATCAAATGGTAGGTTCTGATGTCACTGTATTTTTATTATGTACATAGAAGTTCATCTGATTTTCTATTGTCTTCCTTGGTAAATCATGTGCCAGTTCTTTAAAACCTGTATAAAGAGCAGTATTCCTTCTTTTCATTCATATATTTTTTCAGGGCCTTTGTGTTTGATAAAGCAAGAAAAAGATGCCTCTGGCTCCCTTTCAATAGCATGTCAAATGGAGTGAAGAAAGAGTTTGGCCACGAATTCGACCTCTATGAAAAGAAAGGTGACAGACTTCTCCCTAAATGTTGCCTGATGAAATAAAGTGTGAAATGTGAATTAGGAATCTCCCGGCACAGTGCTATTTCTCATTGATTTTTCTGTTATGTGCTGATCGATTAGTGTAGTCAGTTCATTCACGAAGGTGATGAAAATCGAACCTTGACTACTCTTCGTGTGAAATTTTAGAATACGTCCCAAACTTCCTATAATCTAGGTCCACTTTCCCTTTGACTTTTTTGCATGTCTCTTAGAACCGGTAATCTCCACATTCACTTTAGTAAATATCATCTTACATTATTAGATTAAGATATATTAGATTTGTGGCAAATTTTGAGAATAGTATTTTACATTTAACAACTTTGGATAACTGATCTGTTACAATGATGATGGCTGATAATAATGAGTATGGAAATTTGGATATGTGAATTGGATCTGTGCTTAACTGCTTAAAAATTATGCAAAGAAGAATTGAGACTATGTTATTTGTTAACTTATCTATAAGGGTGGTTTTATATTGTATTCACAAGATATTTACACTGTTGAGAAGCAGAATTATATGAATAAAATAATAGACCATTAAATAAAAACAAATTTTAAAAATTAATTATTACAAATAGTAATTGTGGACTATACTTCTGAAAATAACATTCATTTTAATGTTATTGTTTTAAAAATCCCATTCTGTGCCCTGTTAAACTTTGACATTTGAAACTATATACAAATATGTATTTCCATGTCGATAGAGTCAATGCTTAAATGTAATTAAAAGAAAATTCAAGTAGACAAAAGATAATTTCTACATATCCTAATAAATCTGCAAATTCTAAACATTGATGATTCAGCATATGAGCATTCTTTAATCTTCTAGTTTGTTAGCAGCCACATATGCTATTATTTGATAGCAACAGAGTATGTTATAATTTAGTAGTCATAGGTATACCTGAAGAGTCAAAATGTTAGCAAAAATGTAGAATATAGCAATCAACTGAATGTAATTATCTCATATATATACGCACAATGTCACTGGTGTAAAGAAAGACAAATTAATTATAATTTCTTAAAATTCATATTCTAAAAATCACTCCATTTTTGTAGATATTTTAGGTTTAGTAAGTCACAGTTACCTAGCCAGTCGTGTGCATATAGGCTCATTTATGTCACATACAGAGGAGTCTTTGTGGCTAGTCTTCTATAGTGCACTCATAGACCTAAAACTTCTCATCATCTGCTTGTTTGTTTGCTTTGGGTAACTCCAAAGTGTGTTATTTTGCAAATCTATGAAAAGCTTTGGGCAAGAAACCTCAATGTTATTTTGAAATACTTTAGGAGTTAATTACTTACAGGTTTGAATGGAATTTCACTTCTGTTTTTGTCCTCAGTAAATACGGCACATGTTTCCCACATTAGGACATCTCTCTCTCTGCTTCCTTCCCTAGACTACATTCGCAACTGCATCATCGGGAAAGGGGACAGCTACAAGGGCACAGTCTCTGTCACCAAGAGTGGCATCAAGTGCCAGCCCTGGAGCTCCATGATCCCCCACGAGCACAGGTAAGAACAGCGAGAAGCAAAGGGGGGCAGCTCTGCTTGAGGGGTCCTCCTAGCGATTCTGCAGCCCTGTAGTAACTTAATCAGGTTGCTGAGTTCTGTGAGGCCTGGGCTTATGTGAATTCATGACTGAGATGAACCAACGAGTGAACAAACTCATGATAATAGCATCGTACCTCAGTGCCTCACTTTAGAGATCTTGATGCTTGTGAACAAGTAATGAATACTTCAATTTGGAAGTGAAAAGATTGTTCTTTTTGCTTTTGAGGAAGCACTAGAGGTTGACTAGTGAATCAGAGGCAGGTCAGACTCTGACCTTACAGGGGCTGTGTTTTTCCCAACCTTGGCTGGTTGGCCATTAGAATCAGCTACTGCAAGCCTTTGATAAACCTCACCACCCGGAGGGGAGGGGACACACAGACCAATTACGCCAGAAGCTCTGGGCGGAAAACGGTACCACCATTATTTGAAGCTTCCACATAATTCCATAGGGGACCCAAAGCTGTGAAACACTCCTCCCTCAGACTGAACACATTCTCACTTCACTTGTGGTCCAAAGACAAGAGAAAACTCCGAAAACACCCAGGGAATTGTGTTTATTATAACAGATGAATACGATTTATAAACCTGTAAACATAATATTAATAGGTTTCCTGGGTTGAGAATTTTAATCATTGTGGAGGAAAAACAGGAAGATGAACTAGATCTAGTGGGGAACTAGATATCCATAGTTTTGCAGGCTTATTTCACAAATCGTTTTTAATGGGAGCTAATGTGGTTACAAACAGTTCTCCCCTGGTTAGTAAAGGGATTAGAAGATTTGGTTTGTCCTGTGCCCGGTGCCTTGTCTTGTGGAATAGTTTACTTGTTCATCTCACGGAATTCTCAGAAGAACAGCCAAATGGATGCTTTTATTAATTTTATTTTAAATACATGGTAAAACTGCAGCATAGCGAACCCCTGCATTTTCTAGGGTTCTAGACAACTAGAGAGCGGTGAGTGGTGTGGCCGGCAGATAAGGCAGCAGGGGGCTCTGCCAGCTGTGTTTTCACCGACCCTAAGGCACGAGGCCGTGGCCTGTCAGAGGACAGAGGTCCGGGCTTGTTTTTTGCTAGTGACTATGACGTTGTTTGATGAGATATTTTCCACTTAATTTCACTTTTTCTTTAAGAAATAATCATATTTTGTGACATGACTGATTTTGCTTTAGTAAGTAGAGAGGAATTTGTTCCAAAAGAACTTTGTTCCAAACTGGGGTCCGACCGACCTGGGATCTCAACCATTGGGCAGCTGAGCTGATCATTCCAATAACTGAAAACATCATTTCCCTAATCAGTTGCTATCGGGTGCACAGGAATGAGGGGATTACCTTTATTACAATGCACACAGTACGGTTGGTTTTGTCTTTTCTTAAGGATCTACATAGTGAAGGCAGCATTTTATTTAAACAGATAGATCTATATTTTTTTGCAAACAAAGGAATACATGTATAGTACTATTTTTTTCAAACATAGCATTTAAAATTGATCCTGCTTTCGGGGTCTTATTTCAACCCAGATTCTCTATGATTGTGATTGTCTGCTAAAAGAGCGAATGTGAAATAGATCTCCCTGGGAACTGGCTCCCTAGCCCAACTGCTATTTTACCTCAGCACATTTCCTGGTGACATAGAGGTTTATGTGGAGAGGGTCCTGTGCTAGTAATCAAATACTTCTTTGGTGTTCAAGGAAAGTAATAGTTTTCTTCAATTAGCAGCTGATTGGGATATCGGCACTATAGCTTCACACCTTTAAATTAAGTGTTAACTAGAGATTACTTTATGGGCAATGGAAAATGAAATATGTTTCCATTTGGAGGAGTGGTTTATTGTTGACTCCTTCAACTGAAGTATTTTACAAGTGGCTTAATGGAAAGATGATGATAGATGATGTAGAAATTGGTGTAGAAAATCAGGTGACATGATATCTACATCTATATCCTTCATTAGCCATCCAGCATTCATTAATAAAGTAGATGATGGAATAGGTCAAGTTTCCTATGAACACAGTTCATATTAAAAGAAAGAGAGGCTGGCAACTAGAAGACCTAGTTTATGTTGCAAAGTATATTTGGATAATACCCAGTTTGGAACATTTCTTCACTTATCTCTCTTAAAGCCTTGCTAAGAGCAAGGACAGAGAACTAAGAATAGTATGCATGGGAATCAAAGCTCAACCCAGAGCCCACTGCCTGGCCCAGCCCTGCATGCACTCTGTCCTTGTGAACATCTATACATGGACGCCTGTGCAGGGAGAGAGCAGAGAGCAGGCCATGGCCAAGTGCGGGTGCTGGGGAGTCAGGCCAACACCGCAGGGCACAAGAAAGCCAGTGGATGGGGTGAAGTTCAAACACACCCGGAAATGCAGGGGGACCCGGAGAGCACTTTAATCTCATCCTCCGGAAGAGGAATTGGATATGAATTGATTCCAAATTGTGGAAAGGGCCCATCTTTTCTCTCTATTTTACCAACTCCAGTGGGAGAATTTGCCTGTTGGGCATTATCTAATCTTAGTTTTGACTTTATTTCTCTTCCTTCCTAATTGTATTTTTCCTGCTAAATTATTGACTGATATTTTCACCACTTCCTCACAGCTTCTGTTTGGCTTTCTAAATCCACTGGAAAGGTGTATGTGTGTATTTCTGTTTCTTGCTCCATCTCTCTCTCTTCCTCCCTCCCTCTCTCTCCTTCAGTAAAAATCCTCTCAAAAGCTGTAGATATCGAATATGTGTTTGTGGTATTCAACATGTACTAAAAACACTATTTAGCTCCAGTAAACTGAATACAAGATAATGATGAGAAAAAGGAAATTAATTTAAAATGCTATTAAAATAAGGTTATATGTAAACTCTTTATCAAAGACACCTCAGAGTTACAGAAAGTTTGCAGTATTTAATTCAGATTTTAAAAAAGGTTTAGTTGTTAGTAAGTTGTCAGTAATTCATGTGTTCCGAGAATTTGACTCTGGAATGTTCTCACGCCCAAATGAAGGAATTCCATTGCAGAGCATCGCTTAGCACCTGAGATGTCCTGCATTCATTCTGTGTGGCCAAATAAAGCATAAAACAGATACCTCCTCTTCTTCTTTTCTCCCTTTTTGATTCACACACAAGATCTGTGTGTATCTATGAGGAATAATGTGATGTTTTGGTTTACGTATACAGTACTTAAATGACTAATTTAGGGTAATTCACATATCCATTTACAATTAGAAGTCTCACTGGACAGTGAACATGTTTGGATTACTTTTACTGAAAGATGAAATCCTTGCACTTTAATCCATGTACTTGTAGAACTCTAAGGTCAGTAAAAGTAGAAATAAAGCTTTTTAGCAAAAACCCAACAAAATATTGGAATGTGACTACATTTTTTCCAAAACCTTTTTACTAGTATTACCTATAGTTATATATTATTTTTTAAACGATTTTTGTGTGTAGTCTAGAAGGAAAGTGTGGCATCATTGAGCCCAAGATCATAAGCAATACAAAAACGAAGCAAAAGGTTTTGGCCTTTTCAGGTGTGTTGTAAAACTTTACGTTAGTAACAAGATGACCACTAGGCCATTAGAAGTTTTACACAAAAGTCAGAAGTCCAGGTTATTGAACCCAATAGCTTACTATTGTGGATTAGGACTGGGAGCCCCAAGCCACAGTGACAGTCAATATTTTTAAAATCTTTGAAAGAAATAAGTATTTTATTATGTCAGAGTAGAGAATACAGAGTGGAACATGCTTAATCATAGGTAGCATTTAAGCGCCTATTACTTTATCATCTTTTTGAACTTCTCCAAACAGCCGTTTGAGCTGTAAGACGTTAGAAGTCATAAGTGTCCTCCCTCTATAGGTAAGCTACCAGGCAGACAGACGCCAAATTGTTTGCAGGGCTCTTGGCCAGAAAGAGCTGAAATTGAAGTCTAGGCTGAATTTGACTTTGGCTTCTTGGTTCATGTTATTTCATCAATCTGTTTCTCAATTGTGCAGGGGCAAAAGGGAGACTATTCTTTATAAGAAAAGCCAAAAACAAACAGATAACGCCCTTGGGTTAGCAGTTAGAGCAGTGATTTCTCAGCTCTCTCCTGAGGACCCCTGAGTGGAGCCTGTGGTTGTGTGTTACTCCACACCAGGGATATTCGAGAGTACACAGAATCCAGGGGTCTTGGATAACCTAGGGGCTAAAGTTCTTAATGTGATGTTGAATCCGAACATTCGGCTAGGTGAACTTTGAAAGAAACTCAGATATTTTAAGAATGCATAGAAATGACAGAATTTAAGTTAAAATGTGTGACTGTTTAAGAGATAGATTTAAGGGGTGACTTTTTTCTTAACTTTCAGGAAAATTCAACCCAGTAATTAATAAATTTAATAGGCCAAAAATAAAGTTGCATGCTCTTATACTGTAATGATTATCATTTTAAAACTAGCTTTTTGCCTTCGAGCTATCGGGGTAAGGACCTACAGGAAAACTACTGTCGAAATCCTCGAGGGGAAGAAGGGGGACCCTGGTGCTTCACGAGCAAGCCCGAGGTACGGCACGAAGTCTGTGACATCCCTCAGTGTTCAGAAGGTAAATGAGCCTGACTGCGGGGGGCGCCCTGTGTCTCGCACTGCAGGTGCACAGACACCCGTCAATCCCAATAAATATGGCGTTCATGCGAACCTAACCATGGAGAATTATCTGAGCATTTGTCCATGATGTTTTGCAAACTATCAGATGACCACCAGATTAGCACAGGCACCGGAGCCAGTGTTTGGCTTGAATTTCAAGCTCAGCCCAAGACACCTACTGTCACTACTGTCTTAAGCTCACGAACCTTGAGAGTTGCTCCCATAGAGCACATGGAAAGAGCTGAATGCAGTCGGTCTTTATTAGTAATGTGGATTCGGTACACCCAGGCCCTGCTTGGGCAGAGCTTCGGACGCAGCCCCTCTGATGCGATGTGGTGGAGTCTCTGTGTCCAGAAGAGAATAGGACCAGGGGCACCGGAAGCTCAGCTCCCATGTGTGCTTGGTGAAAATGGGACTAGAAGCAAATGTGACACCAGACTGGCAGGGAGTGCCAATTAGCATCACACTTGAAGGGCCCGAGCCGCGTCCATGCGGTGTGAAGGCAGGAACCGAATCCACGCTGTGCTGGCCTCTCTCCTCAGCACACCGGGGCGCTCTCTGTCCTCTGGAGTGCCGATGAGACTGAAGAGGGGTTCTCCAGTGTTATATGCGGGTTCGTTTTCAGATATTTGGCTATTGAGTAGCTGGATTTTTCAATTCTGTCAAAATTTCTTAAAATTTGCCAAATCCAAATGTGGATTGAATTCTTTCAGAAATTTATTAAAATTTCGAAGTACTTGGGGAGTGGAAGAGGCTACTGGAATGCTGTCCTATTTTTATTTTAAGACATTTTACCTGTTTATTAACTAAATATTTTTGAGCTATATCACCCGTGAATATCCATTTAATATTAGGTTGGTAGTTACCACAGGGCAAGTGAAGGCCATGGTTTCTTAACTGTCAGAGAAGGTGAATGTGTTTTTGTTGTTAGTTAATTTAAAACCCTGACTCCATGTGGTAGAGCCAGTTCCAACTCTGTTTGTAAATTCTTGCTTTCCATTCCATGTCATATTCTGTTCCCTATAACTCCTTCATTGTTTTCTTTTCTTTTAAAAATAATAAACATAACTATGATAACATTATGAACAAGTCTGTTTTGTATGAATAAGTCTGTGATTAATATTTGTCTTAAATTTGTACATGGAAGAAAAAATCCCCTATTTTTAGGGAAATCTCCACTTTCCATTTTCTAAATCACTGTTGAGAATCACTGCTAGGGAGTTTTGTTTCCTGGTCTTGTGACCTGGTTAGCATATCCTGAGGCAGGTAATTTGGTCAAACTCTGTACAGCTTAGAACACACCTCACCTACCTGGCCCTTGTGGGAATTTAATTCTCAACCCCTGATTTATAAGAAGAATGTTACTGGGCCGGGGATTTGGCTCAGTGGTTTCGCCACCTGCTGCACAAGCTCAAGGACCCGAGTTCAATCCCCGGTACCAAAAATAAAAATAAAAATAAATAAAATAAATAAGAAGAACCTTACTAAAATAGACTGTCATAGATCTAGACCAATGGGGAGTGGATAATAGCACTCTAAAAATATAAGTAATTTTAAAACTTTTTTATGTAGTTACCCTTATAAGCATGTAATTCTCGATATTCCTTAATAACTTGAGGTCATCTAGCCTTCCTTAGCAAAGGGCAGTGCCTGTTACTATTAATGACACACAGCGTTCTCGGTCAGCGAACCAAGGGGGTGGCTCACTTCTCTCTGGAAGCAGTTAGAGGTCTGGCCGTGCCACACCAGCCTTACTCAGGAGGCACAAAGCGATGCCGCCTGTCAGCTGAGATACTGCAGGGATGGTCCTGCAGCTGCGCTGTTTTAGATTCAAACTAAAGTGAGTGACCAAGGTTTTAGTGGGATTTTTTCAAGAGGATCCAACATTAGCATGATCAGTATATTAATAGAGAAAAAAGAGAACTAATTGTAAACTGAATAATACAAAATATCAAAAAATAATGTGGATGTGACATAAATCTCTATTAAAATACATGTAAGAGAAAGAAATCTCGAGATCCAAAATGTTTAGTGTAGCAGTAGAACTTTTGTATCTGCAGATATTAATTTATGAAATGATAAGATTTAAAGGTCACAGAATTAGGATGAGGCAGTAATTATCAAAAATTTTGTATGTTTAAAATTAAACAAGAAAAATATCTTTTTAAAAAAAGACATGGCAGACAATATATATATGTATACATATGAGGTTTAGAAATTTTTGTGATTATATTTAACACTTGGCTGAATGATTGTCCGAATTTGTCTAAAATTTTGGTTCAAAAATTGTATGTAACATCTAACAAATAATATTATTTTCTTCTAATTTAAAACTTTGAAATATATTAAATATTCCAAAAGTAAAGTAATACTCTTTTCATACCATATAAAACCTTTCAGTTAGAAGTAAAAATTTCGAGAGATTTATTGCCCAATATAGTGACTATGGTTAGTAACAATATATTGTATTCTTAGAAAATGCCAAGAGACCTGATATTAAGTATACTGAGTGCAAAAATTATGAGCTAAAATATATTAATTAATTAGCTTAATTTAGTCAATCTACAATGTATAAATGCCTTAAATCATTACTTAAGAAAAGAAGAAACTTATGTAATTATATAAAGAAAATACTGCCAATTGATTCTTAATTAAAAAGTTGGGTATGTAAAATCCAATTTCTTTGTTATCTGCTTGATATTTAAAATAATTATTAATCATTTGAACAGATGTCATTTTCATGATTGTCAAATATTCAAGTAAAAATATTTTAATTAAGGCAAAGTCATCATTTTAAAGCACCTTTCCCTTAAAATCCCAAACAACGCTGTCATTGTGTATGATCCCATATTCTATGTGGAGAAAGAAAACTTTTAAAAACAAAGAATTACGTAAAGCTATTCTTCATAAATGTGGATTTGTGAGACTATTCATATTTTCAATTTTGCTGAGATAATCGCATATATGGATTTTTCTGAGCATTTACTTTAGAAGACTAAAATTAACACTGATTCAAAATAGATCCAGTGATTGAGTACTGGATTTGAAGCACAAGTGATTGTTTCAGCTTATAAACGCACATCCCCTACGGGGTCATGGCAAGCACACAATTTTTGAGCTTCCATTCTTAGAATGATGAGAAGGATGTTCAGTGACTCCAGGTTTCATAGTTTTCATAGTTTTCGTCCATCGTTTAGGCCAGAACTATACTTAGAATATTGTACTTGTAAGCAGAATCACTCGTTCAGGTTTAGTTGATCAGGGACAGTAGTCTGCTCGTGCCCTGGTTTATGAAAGAGCTTGCTGGAATGGTCACCAATGCATGGCCAAGGCGGAGCAGGGCCGACCTCACCTGCAGCCCTGTCCCAGACTCCAGCACACAGTGAACACTTTCTCTGCCTCGTGGTTGGTGGGCTAGGTTTCCACCTATCCTGCCTGACTCTGAGCTGGGAAAACAGAGAAGATTCTTTGAGTTCTAGAAGTTTGAAAAATGACTTCAACATTTGGTCTTCTAGAAACAATTTCTATGACTAACCTGATAATTTGCTTAAATGGCAAAACAAAATTTTCAGCCATTTACTTTACAGATGAGGCCAATATTTCAGTTGCGTTGTCATTGTCTCTTCTAATCCTTCAAGGTGGGACACCTATCCTTGTAAACAAGAAGGCAGAGGGGAATGCGAGTCATTTAGAAAGGTTGGGATATTAATAGTGCTTTGTAAAATTATTGTTATCAGTCTGTCTTCAAGTACAGCCAGTTAGAATTTGTAACAAACAAGCTAAGCATGTAGGACAAAAAGTCAATTTGGGCTAATGGAAAGGATTCTAGAGGGTCAGAAGACTTTTTTTTGACATTTTCTGTTTTAGGTAAGTCTTTTAAAATTTGTGTGAGCCTTGTTTTCTTCATGGTATCAACCAAACAATATCTTATGTGTTAAAATTATAGGATAAACAATCAGCAAAGATAAATATGAAATTTTATTATTTTTTCAGCTACTACATTTTAGCATCTCAATTTTATCACAGGACATATTTAATACCCACTCCAAAACCAACTTTCACTGCTTTCTAAATTTTTTCTTACTAATTTGTATTTATTTATCTCATTGGACTGTATCCACAGCCATACCTTTCTTCACGTTACTACGAATATAACATAATAATTCATGTTGTCATATCATTTTATTGTATGTTTTCCCTTATACATCTTACCCAATTCTCATCTATTCCCCAAGGCACAAGTAAAATCTAGTCTTTCCTGAAATACCACTGTCACTAAACACTTAGAACTTTAGAATATGCCACAGTATCTATAAACTTGCTACTCACATGTAAGTTCCAAGTGCCAGAAAATTAGCCTCCCCTGTTAGCTTTTTACTAATTCTCAGGCCAGGAGCACTGACTCAGAATTTGTTCTTTAACCAGATCTGGCGGCGGTTTCTATGTACATTAATTGTTTGCAGAAACATTTATTGACCACACTCATTCTGGAAAGAAATCATCTTATAGGATCCTCTATTTCATTTGTGTAGCTATATTTTCTTAAGCCTAATAAAAATCTATATGCCTAAAAATGTTTTATAATAATACACATAATACTGCTTTCCAGAAGATAATTCTATCCACTCTCATTAGAAGGAAATATACTACAGCGAACTGCACTTACTCAAGGTAATCTAATAGATGTATTCTGATTTCTGAGTACGATTTGAGAGCAGAGGTCGCACATTTGGACACCTCCTTTGTGTGAGGCCATAGTGACGTATTCTTTTTCATTCAATACAAAGGGACAGACAACAATGATATAGGCCACATCATTTTCATTGAGGATATCAAATCTTGCATGTTTTAAAAAAGAGAACTGCATAAATCCGTACCCCATTCAAATGGAAAGCTGAAATGTGATGATGCGTAGCCTGTGTCGAGTGTTTCAATGTGGAAATGACCTCGCCAGCCTGGGCACCTTTGCCACTGTGCTCTTAGCCCCTCTCCGTGTGGGTCAGGTGCTTATTATTGTGCTCGGAGACTCTCAGTATCGAATGAGGGGAAGCTGAACTGGCCCTTTGTCTCGGTTCATGAGTCATGAGTTAGCCTACACAAAAGAAAGTAGAAGGATAAAGCCAGTAGGTGGCTCGTATGTTTCAGAAAGTTAATAGTTAATGTCCTGTTACAGTACACAAATCAAAGGTTCAAAAGTAATAGTTCTACCATGCACCGTGTGTCTACCGATATTCATTAGGCTAGATTCCAATGGATAAGAACTAAGCATTAATATCTTTCTCCGCTTCAGTAGGGTTAGATGATCGGTAATCATGAGATACAAATGATGTGTTTGGGGAAATTTGCCGGATTTGTAGAAGAGGCAAGTGATGATTTATTTCACAGGATACTTGCTGTGCTACAAATCAACCTTCTGTTTGAGAAGTCTCATTGTCAGCTAATTGATGTGATTCAGAGTTTTCAATGTGACATAAGAAACCAGCCAGAAAAGAACAATTAATTAATCTCACCGAATCATCTGTGAGATCCTGAATAATTAGATAAGCTTATACATTTCAAAAAAGTGGGTAAGGAGTTCAATGGTAGGTCATCCTCTAGCCTAAGCTAGAAAAAATGTCAGCTTTACTCGCTTACTTAACATGGGTGTTCACCACCAGAGGGGAGCTGTGACTTTTTTAAAAAAAATAATATATTCTTCAGATTTCTACCCAAAGCTGGTCTTTCAAATATATTGGTTCCTGATTATTGCAGTAGCCATAGGGATCTGACATGCACTCAATTTAAATGGTGTAATTACTGTGTATGTGGTTGCAGGGTGAGTGGAAAGAGAAGCAGTATTATGCTCCCAACAGACACTGATTCTGCATTTCAGACCAATGAGGGAAAAGTCTCCAAAGGTTGATTTTACATCTCCAATTCCTCTGAAACTTGTGGACAGTTATCGAACAATTAGATGTGCAGAATCATAGGGTTATGATAAATCTGTATGACACCAACTGCAAACTTGATGATGCATTCTTTAGTATATATTTTGTGCCACCATTTATGAATATAGGGTGTTTTGAAAATCTGCTTGCTAAACAGTTGATTTACTGTTCTTCTAATGGAATGAATGGTGGTGTTCTTGATTTTGTTGTCATAAATCTTTAACACGCCCTGCTTTAATTTTACTAGTGGAGTGCATGACCTGCAATGGGGAAAGCTATCGAGGGCCCATGGATCACACAGAATCAGGCAAAACTTGTCAGCGCTGGGACCATCAGACACCACACCGGCACAAATTCTTGCCAGAAAGGTAAGAGACCCCTGAATCTTACCTCCCAGACCCTCTTTACACACTGTTATTTGCTCCAAGACAACTACCATGGGAGCTCCTTTAGTCTTTTCCTGAGAGTGGACAAACACACTTTGTCAAACTCCTCTGAATGTCCAGGCTGAGTCTGGAACAGTTGCTGGAGCCCTGATGTCCGGAGAAGGTGGTCTTGGGCAAGAGGGTTTTGTGCTGCGGATGGGGGGACACCAGGTACACCTTCAGTTCCTCTTGGCTAACTGGGTCAGAGGCCCCCAAATGAGGCAGACTTGAGCACAAGACCTTCGGTAGGATGCATAATAGAAGGACAAACAGAAGCATCTGCTTTCTCTCTGTAACAAGATAAAACTTTAAAGAGGGATGGGAGGAGTCAGCACTGACTGATTCCATAACCTGGCCCCGTGAGGGGAGGGTTCATTGATAATGCAGGTGGATATCCCTCTAGAGCAGCAGGTCAGAGACTCGGTGCATCCGTCACAGGTAGAAAGAATACCTGGACACAGGCGTGCTCATGGAAATGGGAGGAGGGTGGCAGGAACAATTCTTTGACAGTTTCATCCTGCTGTATTTTGAAATTGCCAACCAAGAGAAATCAGACAACTAAGTCTACCTTTTTGGTAGGAGAACATTTTGGGCTTTAATAGTTAACCAAAGAGATGATGCCTTCCTTCCTTCATTTATTTCACCTGAAAGGTTTAAGTTGCAAAAGGGAGGGAAAGAAATTCCTTTATTTTTATTACAAAGAAAAAACATACAAATAATTTTAAGGGAAAATCCATTCACGCCTTCCTTTGGGAATTGGTTAAATGTGTTTTTTCTTTCTTCTTTTTCTCTATCATTGTTTGTTCATTTTTGCTTACTGTTGTTCTTTTAAGTGAAATTGCAACCCTGATTTATTTTTAAAGTGCATGTCTTTTCTTTTAAGTGAGAGCAGGAGGGATATGGTAGCAATTAAAACCAACTCAGGCACTCAGGACTCTCTTAATTTAAGCTGGGAGGTGGGTCGCACACAGGGAAGTGGTGTGGTTTGTCTCTCGCTCTGGTGGGGCGGAGGGCATGACCCAGAAAGGCTCTATTTCCAAAATTGAGCTATCATTAGTAACAGAGCTATTGAAACCCAACTTTCAGTTTGAACTCTAAGCCTTCCCCAGAAGAGGGCCTGTTTTCTTAATGAGCATTCTACATGAGGTCATGGTTTGGAATCTGCCCTCAATCAGGCCCTGTGAGAAAGGCCTTCAAGTGGGGCCCCTAACTGGAGCAGGTACCGAACGGACCTCACTTATGAGCACAGAGGGTGATATGCTGGCCTCAGTGGAACATGGAAGGCAGAGGACTCTATAGCTAGCGACTAACAGCCCCTGTGAACGAAAAGATAGAAAATCTGCTCTTTGCTGGAGCTACATAGGAAGTTATTTCTCCAACGGAGGTCTAGGTGGTGTTCCAGGCAGATTTACCTGACACTTTTCTTGGTGTGTTTCGCAGATACCCCGACAAAGGCTTTGATGATAATTACTGCCGCAACCCCGATGGCAAGCCCAGACCCTGGTGCTATACGCTCGACCCCGACACCCCTTGGGAGTACTGCGCAATTAAAATGTGCCGTAAGTTAGGGTCAAATTTATTGCTTCCTTTTCTCTCGCAGCCTGGATCTAAGCCGGCGATTATTAGGGAGACAGGTTAACAAGTATTTTACCTGATGCTTTAATGTGTGCAAGCTTTAATATTTTAAGAATGTGTTGCGTTATCCTACTCAATCTTTTGAATTTTCAGATAGGCACTGTTGGAAAGGGACACACACATTAGTGTATGAATAAAAAGCGTGTATACCTGTGGTAAAAGACAAACATAGTGATGTTATCTAGAAAATGAAAAAAATCAGAGGGAGAAAAAGATGCAGGAATGTGTGCAGCGCCTCAGTCTCACTGCGGCAGAGACAGGTCCAACCCGAGACTCTTACCTTGCTGTCCTGGGTCCTTTCCCGGCCATTTCTCTCGGGACAGAGACTGACTGTGAAATGCTGTGGTGAATAACAGAGGCCACAATGAAGAACCCTGAGTCTGACAGAAGCTTCTCCCAGAAGCCTTTGTGTGCCGCCTCTGGGGTGGTTCCCCCCGCAGCGGGGCTCTGCGTTGCCCCGTGTTGCCCCGCTTCCCAGCAGCTCCTAGCATCCTCTCTAGACAGGGGCACCTAGCCAGCTTGCCTGAATTAAAGCTATAAAGCTTGTTTGCTTACGTGCCATATCCTTTAAATGTGTGTATGCAGCACTCTCTTCCATGGCTAAATCCCGGGAATTTGCTCTTCTTTGACATTATACTGGATACTAATGAGAAGGAATTTTTTATGAATAGATGTCTTATTTGTCAACTGAAACTTAAAGTGCTTCAAGTATTGCATCTTCTCATTAAGGTGTGGTAATATTATAATTTAGCTTGACGATATACACGCATGTATGTATAGAGATACACAAAAATTTGTGATCCGTGTAAGATCTGGGAGCCAGCACACGGAGGAGCACATCCGCATCAGAGGACAGGGTAGGTGTCAGCCTGTTTCCCCTGACAGCCTGGTATGAGCATTCCCAACACAAATCCAGCTTGGCCTGTCCCCTGCTGCCAGGTTACCCTCTCTTCCCAGGCCCACTGGAGAAGGCAGAAGTTTTGGGCCACTCCTAAAGCCACAGAAAGGGACTAGCATAGCCTGTGTAAAAGACCTGCTGAATCTGGGAGCCTCTTAGAGGGAAACACAATGTTCCCAGAAAACTGAATCATCTACTTTGTCCTTTAAAATAAAAGACAACTACTCATTGGCTTGTTGAATAGTGATAACCTTCCAAGCATTCTGGGTCAGATAGGTTTAATAAAATATTCTAATTTCTTTCCATTTTTTTGTGCTTAGGATACTGTTATGGATCTTGTCTGGAATAGGCCAGTATAAACACACACGCACACACACACACACACAGAGACACACACACACACGCACTGTGCATTCACCCTCCAGCTGGAGAGCACACACCAAGACACCTAAGAGTTGCCCTTTATTTTGGGTCTAAATCAATTTTTTGCACATTTAAATAGAGATTGGGGGAAAATAAATGAATATGATACTTTTCTATTACATGGTTTCCTCTCTGTTTCTTTTTGGTTAAGAGGAACTGGCAAATTATGTACACAACATGAAATAATTCTGATGTTTCTGGTAAACAGAGTGGGCATTTATGGGATGTGATTCCTTAGAAAATGATTGAATTTGTGAGCCAAACCTGTATCTTTTAGATTAAAATAATCTTCTGAACTTTGAGAATATTTTAGAAATATTTTATTAGAGGACAGCTTTTAGCTTAAAGATTATACAAATGTAAAGAGCTACAAAGAAATTATACCTCTATTAAAATAAATGAGATAAAGTTGAAATTCTGGAAAGCATAAAAGATGACATCTTAGAAATATTCTTTCAAATTATTTGGCTTACAAATACAATAAAGTGAATGGTGCAAAAATGAGGAATTTAGTGGTAGTTTCATTTGCGTATTAGTTTTCTCTTATGGCAAACAAAGTCCCCAGAATGAGTTGTTTAAACCAGCGCCCCTCATTGGCCGCCTACTTTCATGGGCGAGGAGACCAGGCCTGACTCCTGTAGGCTCCACGTGCTGTCTCCCAAGGTCACAGTCAAGGTGCCTGCCTGCCTGCCCGCCCGCCTGCCTTGTGGTCTGATCTAAGGCCCGGCTGCTGACAGAATCGGCCGCTGCGGTTGTATGCAGAGGCCTTCAGCTCTCAGAAACCATCTGGCACTCCTCCACATGCGCTCACCCTGACCACTCGTGACTGGATGCCCCAAAGCCAGTAGCCTGGTGTCGCTGCTCCTCGAGCTTCTGCCATCCAAATCCTTTTCTTAAGTGCTGATCTGGTTAGATTAGGGTCACTTAGGTTAGTCTTCTTTTAATTAACTTGAAGTCAATTCATAGGAACTTTAATTACATGTGCAAATTCTCATTCTCTGTCATGTAACCACACAATCACTAGAGGGACTATCTCATCGTATTCGCAAGTTTCATTCAGACTTAAGGGGGAAATAACAGAATACGAATGCCCATGGGTGAGGCCCACACAGATCTACCTGCCGTAAGAGGCAGCCTAGTACCTGACTGTAATTGGTATTATTTGTATTGTTAAATTCCTGGGCCTGCTTTTGGGTTATATCCGTGTCTTGACTATAGGGTTGATGATTGTGTCATCTGCTCCCTTGAAAGTTGAAAAGGTACTTTTAAACTCCTGTCTCATTACGTGAATTCCATGGCTAACAATTACAACTGTAACCATGTACACTCGCAGAGAACTGCTTTTCGTCTAGTGTTAGTAATTCTTATTTCAGTTCTATTAAATGCTTATGACTTGGCCAGAGAGGAGAATTGGGAAGACAGGAGTGCGATTTTCAAGGCAGAGCAAGTAGGTGATGTGAGCCGTGCCTAGGGGAACCCAGAAAAATGAAAGAAGATGAGAAGCACGAAACTGATGTAAGCAAACTCAGCAGGATCCGAGAGGACCCAGCAAGCTGCCATGATAAAGCCTAAGCCAGGCAGGAGGAGTGCTCTCATTCGTGTGCTCTAGAGCAGTCTACTCCAAACTGCTGTCCCTGGGGCCCAGGGAACACAAGGCATGTCCTGGGCTGTGGGTGTGGATGGCTGAGGGGTTCAGCTCTCTCCTTCCGCCTGAACTGCTCCCCCGTCATCAGCCCCAGATGCATGTGGTGCCCAGAAGTCAGGGAAATTCATTCCTCTCCTTTCCCACTCAGTTGCATGAAGGCAGCTTCCCTCCCACCCGAATGGGAGTGTCCCACATTGGCCTGGGATGGAACAACCCTGGGCAAATAGACCCAGAGATCTCTGGAAATGCATAGAGCATTCATCCTACTCGGGCCTTTTGGACTGCTCACTGCGTAACTGCACCCAGCGTATATTCATACGTACAGCGCGTGTGTGCTTAGTGTTTGTGTGTGCATTTATCCTTAGAACCCTATGGTAACAGGAAAGTCTACAGTTTAATTCCAGTGTGTGAAAATCTCAGAGCAGTGTGATGAAGTGAGGCCTAAAAGATCTCCACATAAGGCAACACAATTCAGGTCAGGAGGAAGTAAAGAGAGTGTAGAATTAAGGCTGTAAGCAAGTAAAACAAGCTGACGAAGACTGGGGCGGTACCAGAGGGTTAAAGTGTAGAGTACACAACAACAGACTAGATGGAGTAAGAAATAGGGTGAGGCCAGGGGAAATCTCAACTACTTCCCAAGTTATTGGATAGACGTCTATGTGACAACTATCTATTTGAGGAGAAAACAGTAAGTGTAATTGTGCTCACTGAGACAGGGTGCATGGCATCTTTGTTCACCACACATCTAAATCCAGTGTCGTCTGAGGCTGCAGAGCATCCTAGGTGAACTGCGATAGCAGAATCTTTGGGCATAGGTGTTCCGGAGAGCACACAGCGGGTGGTTCCCCTTCTCACATGGTATTCACTCAACAAACACTGCTGACCAGCTATTATGAGTCAAACACTTTTCTAACTGTGAGGCATGCAGAAGTGAGCAGATGGACCCAGGTCAAGAATACAATGGAAATGTAAGAGCTTTGGCCCAAACCAGTAAAGGGAAACTGACGCTGCCTTAATGGTGAGATACTCACACCTTCCAGAGCCACCGTTGTGGGACGCCCTGCATTGTGGTTTGCTGAATGAACCCCAAGTTTGTCTCTTAGCTTGTTTTGCAATCGGTGTGGCACAGGATGTGGCGGACAGGGTCTCTCATTCCCCGTGACCTTGGAGGCCTTCCTCAGCTCTGCTCCCACACGGCGGTGTCCACCCCAAGGCCACAGCCCCCAGACAGCCTGGCTCTGTGGCCCGGGAGTTCCCGGCCCTTTGGATTTTCAGATATTGCAAATATAGGACAAGAGGGAAAGTCCTTAGCAGTGCCTGAAGGTACTGAGTGGCTTATGATTTCCCCCCGTAATAAGTTCATACTTTGAATAACAGTTTATTCCACAAATTAATTCATTGCTTTTTACAAAAAGCATTTTTTAAGACTATTGTGTTTTTCCGAAGTGAACTACAAGTCTCCGGCCATGGAAAACTCCCTTGTGACTGATGCCTTTAGAAAATACTATTGATTAATTAAACCAGTTCCCAGACTTCCTGGACTGAAGATGCTGTTACACTGGTTAGTACTGAAGCATTTAGCATTAGAACCTAAATTGTTTCTGTGGGTTATATGCCTTGATATGGTATGTAACAATTTAGAAATTTAGAAAAACAATTAATTAAAAATAATAATAGTAAACTTATTGGGTATAGATAGGTATTTTAGTGAAAAATACACATTTTCCAGAAAATGCAGAAAACCATGACATTACAGATTTTTTTTATAAGTCTAGAGACTTATAAATTTCTTCATGTCATCTTGATGGAAGATGGCTGGGTATCTGGCATTTACTTCTGCCTTCAGTCTTTTGAGATAGCACACATCACATAACTCCCAGAAACTTTACTGGGCAAGGGGCAAACAATGTCTTAACATTATTACAAAGATAGCTTTGAGCACCTGGGTCCCCGAAATG